ACTGTTTGAAGCCAAGCTTCTACCATTTCATATCACAATCTATTGATTGAAGCCAAGGTCCTACCATCCAATATCACTCTCTACTGTTTGAAGCCAAGCTTCTACCATTTCATATCACAATCTATTGATTGAAGCCAAGGTCCTATACCATCCAATATCACTCTCTACTGTTTGAAGCCAAGCTTCTACCATTTCATATCACAATCTATTGATTGAAGCCAAGGTCCTATACCATCCAATATCACTCTCTACTGTTTGAAGCCAAGCTTCTACCATTTCATATCACAATCTATTGATTGAAGCCAAGGTCCTATACCATCCAATATCACTCTCTACTGTTTGAAGCCAAGCTTCTACCATTTCATATCACAATCTATTGATTGAAGCCAAGGTCCTATACCATCCAATATCACTCTCTACTGTTTGAAGCCAATTAAGGTCCTACCATCCAATATCACTCTCTACTGTTTGAAGCCCAGGTCCTACCATCCAATATCACTCTCTACTGATTGAAGCCAGGGTCCTACCATCCCATATCACTACTGTTTGAAGCCAAGCTTCTAACATTTCATATCACTATCTACTGAATGAAGCCAAGTTCCTATCGTTCCATACCAGTCTCTATCATAAACCTTGTCTTTATACGTATGAAGATTTTTAGAATTGTAAATTAACTCGTTCGCTCCATGTGATAGTAACTGCACTTTCTTACCGGCCATAGCAGCGCCTGTATAAGCCTATGGGCATTACCGCGCGTGAATAACAGCTAATTAATTAGGCTAATCGTGGGTCAATTAACTCGAAACTCACAGTGATTATTTCTAAGACATGTATCATCACGCATGTAGAATTTTAGAAACAACTCATATAGTTCGCGAGATATGATAGGTAAATACACTTTCCTACCGGCCATATACGCCTACTATATGCCTGTATAAGCCTATGGGCATGACCGCGCGTGAATTACAGCTAATTAATTAGACTAATCGTGCGTCAATAAACTCGACACTCACGGAGATTATTGCTAAGACATGTATCATCATGCATGTAGAATTTTAGAAACGTAACTCATATAGTTCGCGAGATATGATAGGTAAATACACTTTCCTACCGGCCATATAGCGTGATAGCGTGTGTACGGAGGGGGGGGGCTTAACAGCTGTATACAATGCGCCCAGTACAGACAGTACAGGCGGGCGCGGGCAGGAGATTTTGCATTTGTGTTGTGGCGTTTGCATTTGTGTTGTGGGATTTTGCATTTGTGTTGTGGCGTTTGCATTTGTGTTGTGGGATTTTGCATTTGTGTTGTGGCGTTTGCATTTGTGTTGTGACGTTTGCATTTGTGTTGCGGGATTTGCATTTGTGTTGCGGGGTTTGTATTTGTGTTGCGGTGTTTGTATTTGTGTTGTGGGATTTGTAATTGTGGTGAGCCTTCTGCGCCACCGTACGGTTGTCATCTATATTTTCCAGCCATAAATCAGCGTGCATACGCCTCACCTGTGTGGTTATTCTAACTAACTGTGTCTCCGTCCCTAGGTCTATGTGCATGTTATATCCAAGACCTGGTTGCCATGAGCCGTGTGCGTCAAGGCGGGCCTGGTGTGGTGCCGCGTTTGTATCCGGCCAAATGTCCCCGGTTATGGCACTATCTGGTATGGTTTTGTCAATCATGCCCAGTGGTGCACCTTTATCTACCTATATACAGACACACCAAGTGATTGAAGAGTTACAGTAGAAAACTAGAAGTAGTCGCTTTCAGGCATTATTCTGCCCAATGATTAATTTACAGCTCTATAAACCCTTATAGATAAAGTCAGAGTTGATTTTCGTTCATTCGACGATTTAATACAGCATTATTATTATTATTATTAGTTCGCCTGTGTTAGTGCTTTTACAGTATAAGGAAGCACTGTTGAGCGTCGTCGTCGTGTGTGTGTGTGTGTGTGCGTGGTGCGTGCGTGCGTTGCGTGTCGTGCGTGTTGTAGCACTTATTGAGGCGTACCAGATAGACAAAGTCCAACCAATTGGAGTCGACCAATTTAGGTGTGGCCTCTGTACCAGTCTTCAGCCGAGCTTTCTTGCACTCTTTGGTCTCTTGTCTGTAGTTGACGGAGAAGCCAGTCAGGGTCTTTCACGCATGCTTGCCGCGCACATCAGTCCGCTACGGCTGGAAATACTGTCAACCACGTTGCACGTAGGCGTTTGTGTAACATAGCCCTGGGCAGGGAATACCAATACGTACCCATGTGGCTCATGTGGGTATATTTTATACACTCTAAATGGAATCTGTATTTTGGGGGGGGGGGGGTATACATCAACCAAAATTTGTTTTACATGTTGCTGCTAATCACCATCAGCATCTAAAAATAAAGATTTAATACCGTTGTGAATTTACTTTATATTATACTGATTATACTATTTAATTATACTGATTTAATACCGATCTAAAACCGTTGTGAAACGTAGTCGTGGGCAGTAAATAGATCCTGGTGAGCGTGACTGCAGATTTAAAAAAAAAAGCCAGCTGTTTTCTAGTTGATTTAAGTTCAGTATAGTTCAGACAAGTTAGGTCTTGTCAAATGCTTTAATGGAACCCATAATGAAAAGTGGCAAAGTTGACATTTATAACCATACTATAATTGCTCTATGCGCATTAGGGTGTTCGAGTACATCACGTATTAATGAAATAGAGAAAAAAAGTTAGACTTAATGGGATATTTTTCTACAAACCTTAAGCTTGATGACAAGGGATTTGACATCTCTTTGTCTTGATTGTTTTCAGATATAATCGCACTTGCCCTAGCGTATTCTCGTCCCAGTCCTGACAAGTTGTTGCAGTAACTGTTCTCAGGCAGAACGCGAGCAGCGACAGAAATACAGCCACCATCGTGACACATACACAAGACACTAACTAAATTTAAAACTATACCATGCCGTGACATAACCTAGATAGACGTGGTCGTCATAGCAGCATTAAAAACAACTGCATGCACGATTGATTATGATGCTGTCAGTTGTACTTGTCACGTGACAGTCTACCTGCCAGGGGCGTAAATCCGTACGAGGAGTGGGGGTGGTGGGGGGGAGGGATGATCGCGACACCATTCACATACTAGCACGAAGCACAAGCCCATTATTAGTTCAGGGGGCAGAATAGTCCAAAATAAAGATGACGCTAAACTTTTGGGTAGAGGCTGGAAAACGGCGTAAATATCATTTCTATTGTATACTTGGGGAGTTTCACTGGGTATTTTTCCAGGCTGAATATTTAGCGTATTGTTTTGCGCGGCCGTCTATAAATGCCAAAATTGATCGGCCAGCCGAAAATGGATTTTCTGAAATATTGCTGGACCCCGACGTCGTAGAGACATAATGTTGGGCTTATACCCACATTTTCTAAGTGGAGAAACCCAATTATGACATATAAAAACATAGGATGGCTGCCATATTGGATTTCAAGATTGCCGCGCCAGTGAACTTTTGTTTATTTTGAATAACTAGACTGCCAAGACGTCGTAGAGACATATTTTTGGTTGTCTAACCACATTTGCGACAGATGGGAACAACCCAGTTATGACACCTTAGAAAAACATAGGGAGACGGCCATCTATTTATTTCAACATGGTGGTATGTGTTACTCCATAGCTATTACAACAGTCTAAGCCAACAAAAATCGATATAGTGCATACCAGAATTTGTCATGGAAATATGTAGTTTTAAAACAGTCACACCGCACCAGCAACATTTTGTTGTACTGGCGTCTCTCGCAGGCCATGTTGCATTTCGCACGCACCGGTGCAGCACATTATATGTTTTTGTACATGTCACAGGCTATCGTGTACGGCAACAAGGTCCGTTCCTTACTACTAGCCAAATGTCTGTTTATTGCCAATCAGTAATTTGGCACGAAGTGGATTCAGTGTCACTGAGCCGGGCCTGTGGTTTTCAGATGCCATCCTAGCAGTATACAACGCGCAGTCAAAATGCCGAAGGAAATGCTCTGATGTACTATCTACACACTGCGATTTGCGCAATGAGGCTCTGATAGTGGGCTCGACTGACAATAGTAGTATCATGTGCGTCTTTCGTTGGTGGCAAATAGTCA